TGCAGAAAAGGATCTGGGGGTTATAGTGGATCACAAATTGAATGAGAGCCAACAACATGATGCTGCTGGAAAAAGGCAAATGTAATTCTGGGGTATATTAACAGGACTGTTGTATGTAAGACGCTAAAGGTAATCATCCCCTCTACTTAGCACTGGTGTGGCCTCAGCTAACATATTGTGACCAATTTTGATCACCCCACTTTAAGAAAAATGAGGACAAACGAGAGAGTTCAGAGGAGAGCAACGAAAATGGTAAAATATTTAGAAAATCTGACCTATGAGGAAAGGTTAAAAACTGGGTATGTTTAATCTTGAGAAAAGAAGACTTGGGGGAGGCGGGGAACTTGAAAAGAGTCTACAAATATGTTAAGGACTGTTATAAAGAATGAGTGTGATCAATTCTTCTCGATGTCCACTGCAGGTGGGACAAGAAGTAATGGTCTTAATCTGCGGCAAGAGAGATTTAGGTTACATATTAGTAAAAAAACTTTCTAATTACAAGTATAGTTAAGCACTGGAATGGACTTCCAATGGAGGTTGTGGAATCTCCATCACTGAAGGTTTTTAAGAATAGGTTGGACAAAAAAATGCTCTAGGTAGATTTGGTTCTGCCTCAACACAGCGGGCTGGGCTAGATGACCTCTTGAGGTCCCTTCCAGCCCTATACTTCAAAGATTCTGTGACTTGGTGCACGTCCATCAGATGCTCTTAACACTGCATTAACTGAGAGGTTTTATACTGAATATAAAACAATTCATGATGTTCTGTCCCTCCCAATTCCTGCAGTCAGTTTCATCTTAACAGAAAAAAATCCTGTGTCCAGTGTGCAAGTCTCTGAATGGCTGCTCCTGGTGCACAGGAGCAGGAACACACAATTGTTACACTCCCCAGCTGCTCACACCCATGCTGGTGCACAGGGGCAGAACAACTCATTCCCACAGTGGTTCACCCTCAGTCCTTAGGTACACAAAAACAGGAGTGCATGATTCTTCCATGTTGCTCAGTCAGGCTCCAGTTCACAGCAGCAGATGCACACACAGCTCACATTTGATCACATGGACAAGAGCACATGGTTAACACACACCTAAGCTGCCCATACTCAAGTCCCAGTGCATATGGACAAGAACACTCAATTCACTCCCCTTCCAGATGTCCATTTCCATGCTGGGTTCACCAGAGCAGAAACGTATGATTCTCTTATTTACACCTACTTCCTCCCACACCTCAATGGCAGGTCATACTCAACCTGCAGCCAGAGGAAGGAGTATGATTCATAAACTCTGGTGGCTACATAATTCTCACACCCACTAACAGATGTGTTTATCCTTCCATTCCCATATTAATTCATACTAATACCCTCTGCAAGGGGGACTATACTGCATAATTCTCATAGCCCATAGTCACTGATTCACTTCTGGAGCAGCAGTATATGAATATCACCCTCCCATGGCTATTTACCCCCACACTCCATCCACAGGAACACAGAAGAACATCATCCCATAGCCATTTCACTCCCTCTCTGGGGAGTAGGGCAAGAGCATGTGCTTCTCCTAGCAAGCCATTCATGCACAGGGGAAGGAGCACACAATTCTCACATTCATACAGCCTCAGGCTGACACCCAGCACATCATTCTCACCTCTCCAGCAGCTGCTCATACTCACACCCAATAGAGGGCCAGGACAATTTCACAGCCTCTTATGCCCAGTACACAGAAAAGGAGTACATAATTCACAAAAAATTAATTGAATTTGAATGCATAGGAATCAATGTCCTGACAAGGCCGAAGGTGGTCTGCTACAGAACACCGAATCAAACCAAACAGGATGAATTACTCCTTAAACATCTATCTGATGTACAGAAAGAAAAACTGTGTTGATACAGGGAACTTCGTAGCTAGAGGACTCATATAGCCAGTAGAAATTATTAGTTTCTAAAAATTATAGATGATAATTTTCTAACAAACAAGGTATTGCACCCAACATGAGGTAACATTTCGGATCTCATTATGATAGATACAGATGAAAATCATTCGACTGGAAGTTGGCAGTTGCCTAGTGACCAGTGATCATTACCTGATTACATTCAATATGGGCAAAGAGAGGATGGTCCCAACCAGTAATATATAACTTGGTGCTCCAAAAGGGCTAATTTCCCAAAGCTGAGGAAAACTATGAGTGAAACTGATTGGGAGGAAATATTCAGACAGAAAAACGTGAGTGAAAATTGGGAGTTCTTTAAGAATTTATTTGATGGCCAAAAAGCCACAATTCCACAATCACAAAAAAGGATAACTTTGGGTGAAAGCTCATCCTGGTTCAGTGAAGTGAAGACAGCAATTAGAAATAATATATATGTAAAAAATGGAAAAGGGGGGAATATATAGCAATTTATATAAATTAGAAGTTATGAAATGTAGACAATTGATAAGGGAATCTAAAAACATTAAGGAAAAGTCCATGGCTGGCAGAGCTAAGGACAACAAGAAGGCATTTTAAAGTATATGAGAAAAAAAGGGTTACTCACCTTTCTGTAACTGTTGTTCTTCGAGATGTGTTGCTCATATCTATTCCAGTTAGGTGCGTGTGCGCGCCACGTGCACGGATGTCAGAAACTTTTCCCCTGGCAGCTACCCATCGGGCCAGCTGGGGAGCCCCCTGGAATGGCGCAGATATGGCGCTCTATACAAGACCCTGCCGGCCTGACCCCACTTCAGTTCCTTCTTGCCGGCTACTCTGACGGGGGCGTGGGGGGAGAAATGGAATAGATATGAGCAACACATCTCGAAGAACAACAGTTACAGAAAGGTGAGTAACCGTTTTTTCTTCTTCGAATGCTTGCTCATATCAATTCCAGTTAGGTGACGCCCAAGCCTTATCTCAGACGTGGGGTCGGAGTCAAGGAACCGGAGACTGAAGAATCACTCTGCCAAAGGCCGCATCATCGCAAGAGTGCTGAACGATGGCGTAGTGAGACGTGAAGGTGTGCACCGAGGCCCACGTGGCAGCCCTGCAGATTTCCTGGAGGGGAATGTTTGCTAGAAAGGCTGCTGACCAGTGCGCCTTTCATCCGCTCTGCGATGGCGACGAACATCTGGGTTTGTTCGGTCTATATAGAAAGCGAGCGCCCTCCTAACATCCAGCGAATGGAGGCGTTGTTCCCGAAGGCCAGCATGTGATTTTGGGTAAAAAAACAGCAGGAAAATATCTTGACTTACATGGAAACGGGACACCACTTTTGGCGGGAAAGCTGGGTGAGGTCTCAGCTGAACTTTATCTTTATGGAAAATGGTATAAAGCGGTTCACACGTGAGAGCTCGTAGCTCAGACACCCGACGTGCCGAAATGATGGCCACTGGGAAGGCGACCTTCCAGGAAAGATAGAGAAGTGAGCAGGAAGCCAGCGGCTCGAAAGGAGGGCCCATAAGGCTGGAAAGAACCAAGTTAAGGTCCCAGGCAGGCACAGGCGGCTTCCTTGGAGGATGGATTTTTTCCAAGCCTTTGAGGAAACGTCGCACGACCGGGTGTGCAAACACCGAACGCCCAGCCGTTCCTGGGTGGAATGCAGAAATGGCTGCAAGGTGAACGTTAAGGGATCCAAAAGCTAGGTACTGGTCCTTCAAGAACATCAGATAGTCCAGGATGCACAGGACTGAAACCTGGAGCGGGGGCACCAGCTGTTGAGCGCATCAGCTGGAAAACCTTTTCCATTTAGCTTCGTAAGTAAGTCTAGTCAAAGGCTTGCAACTTTCCAGGAGCATCAGCCTTACCAAGTCCGAACAGGCACGCTCATCCTGGTTCAAACACAGATCCTCCAGGCCGTGAGGTGGAGCGACTGAAGGTCCGGGTGTAGGAGATGACCATGGTTCTGCAAGATGAGGTCGGGGCTGAGAGGTAGGCATAGGGGAGCCCGAATTGACAGGTCCAGCAGGATAGGGTACCAACATTGGCGCGGCCAGGCAGGGGCGACCAGTATGAAGTCCGCCTTGTCCCAGCAGACCTTGTGGACCAGCGGAAATGGCGGGAAGGGGTAAAGCAGTTGGTCTGACCATGTGATCAGGAAGGTGTCTGCAATTGAGCCTGGGCTGTGACCCCGGAAGGAGCAGAAGGCTGGGCACTTCCTGTTGGTCCACAAAGCGAACAAGTTGATTCAGGGAAATCCCCAGATGCGGAAAACAGTGAATGATGTCCGGGTGAATCGACCATTAGTGCGTGAGAAAACACCTGCTCAAGCTGTCCGCCAGTACATTCTGGACACCCGGCAGATATGAGGCCTGAAGGGTGATGGAGTGGGCTAAGCAGGGAAGGGCTTCTTGGCAGAGCGGCAATGACCGGGCTCCGCCTTGTTTGTTCAGATAGAACATGACCGTGGTGTTGTCTGTTAGGACTGCTATGCAACGGTCTTGTAAGCAGGGAAGGAATGCTTGGCACGCAAGGCAAATCGCCCTGAGCTCCTTGATATTGATGTGCAGGGGCAGCTCGTTCTCGTGCCATAAACCCTGTGTTGTCAGGCTCCTGAGGTGCACCCCCCATCCCAAGGCAGATGTGTCTGTAACCAGGGTCAGGGTGGGTTGAGGGGGATGGAATGGGACCCCGGCACCCACCATACAGGGATCCAGCCACCAACAGAAATGGATAGAAATATCCCACCTGTACTGCGTGGCGGACCCAATGGTCCGATGTAATGAGGGACCAGGCATGGTAGAAACGGGATAGATGGTTCAGAAAGGGATAATTGTTCGGGATGTGAGCCTGTCCTCCGGCGTACCTTCAAAATGGATGCTTAGGTCCTGGAGGTGACTTGGATTGCCCTTGACCCTGCCCGGGGGGGGGGGGGTGCGTGATGGTCTATATTGATAGTACCTGCTTCTCTGACGGGAGAAGTCCTGCCTGGGTCTAGGTGGGAAGGGGCATTGTTGGGTGGTCTGGGGCTTAAACGGCTTCCTTTGAGTAGCCAGGGTATGCATGCCCAAGGATATAATAGTATTTCTTGTCTCCTTCAGGGTATGCAGGCGGGAATCTGTTTGCTCTGCCCTGGCCATCAGAGGGGAGATCTTGTATGGTGTGTTGCACCTCAGGCAGAAGACCCGAAGACTGGAGCCAGGCGTTTTGACGCATGGCGATGCCGGATGCCAGAGTGCATGCAGCCGTGTCCGCAGCATCAAGGGAACCCTGAAGGGAGGTTTGAGCTACCAACTTGCCCTCCTCGGCAATGGCCCCCAGTTCCGTACGAGCCTCAGCTGGGAGAAAGTCTTGGAACTTACGGACCGCAGACCACGAGTTGAAATTGTATCTACTGAGGATCGCAAGCTGGTTCGTGATCCATAGCAAAAGGCCACCAGTAGAATAAACTTTTCTTCCGAAAAGGTCCAGCCACTTGGCGTTCTTTGATTTGGGCGAGGTGGGTGAAAAGGTATTTGTATCCCCTGGTGGGGACAAAGTATTTTCTTTCCACCTCCTTGGCTGTGGGGGGGATGGAGGCTGGAGTTTGCCAGAGAGCTTTGTCATTGGTTTGAATGGTTTTGTTCATGGGGAGAGCCACCCTGGAAGGCCCTTCTGGGCCTAAGATGTCCACCATAGGATTCTCCTCCTCCACAACCTCCTCAACTTGGAGGTTCATATTTAGGGCTACGCGCCTAAGTAGATCTTGCAGGACTCTAAAGTCCATTGGAGGGGGGCCAGACGTGGACGTGCCAGCCACGGCCTTGTCAGGGGAGGACGAGGAAGATGCCACCGGGAGAGCCAGATCGGAAGTGGCCCCTTGGTCTGCTGTGGCTAGATCTTCCTGGGTGCCTGGGGTAGTCCCTACCACAGGTGCTGACTCCACAGGTTGCTCCGGGTCTGGAGGAGGGCGGTTGAGGGTCGCCTCAGGAGGCCGGGCGTCTGATAGTGTCGACGGGTAGGCAACGAGAGGGGCGCCCTGGGCCTGATTATATGCCCAGGGGTCCAAAATTGCCACTGGGGTTGCCAGTGGGGCGCTGAGGGGTCATGACCAAGGCTTCCTGGGCCCGACTGGGGAATGTCCGAAGCCCCTGACCCTCTACCCGATCTACTGGAAGGGGATTGGGAGTGTGACGGCCAAGGGGGAGCGGTGCACGAATGGAGCGAGGGGGGCACCAAGTCCCTTGATGGACGAGGGTCATACGGTGATCGGCGTTGTAATGCTGGCCGTGACCGTAACTGGTGCCATGTTGAAGAGTGGTGCCGCTCCGGGGACCGGTGCCACTCAGGGGACCGGTGCTGTGAAGAGGATTGGCGACACATCATGGCTTGGTGCCGCGGTGACAGCTGGCATGGGGATTGGTGCCCCGAACGGTGTCGTGAGGTTGCTGAGCGTGATCTGGACCTCGAGTGGGACCATGTTCTGGCAGTCGACGGTGACCTCAGGCGTGAACAGCTCTGAAGGTCGGGGCTGCAGGACCAGCGCCGCGAGTCTAACCGGTGTTGTGAGTCAGACCAGTACGTGGAGCGGTGCCTAGACTCTGAATGACGCCGGGACTCAGAGCGGTGTGGAGATGCTGGTCCAAAGAGATTGCCGGTTTGCCCTAGCCAGTACCGGGACTTGTGCCGGAGCCGGTGCTTGAATTGGGAACACTGGTGCTGTCATTTCGATGAGCCCTTTGGCGGCCTCGAAGGTATCTGCAGTCGAAGGCAATGTAACATCTTCCACTTGTAAAGTCCCTTGTGGCGCGGGACTAGCATGAGCAGACCGGGGCCTAGCGGCTTTGTCAGGATTAGAGGCCTGGTCCAAAGTTTGCTTGGTCGGGGCCGCAGTGACCACTTCTGGCCTAATGGAGGGTCCTCCCAAAGCTTGCTTTTTTCGAGCAACTGGGGAGTGAGAGCAGTGCAGGAGTGGACGCCTTTGGGGCCCAGGAGATCGTTGGTCCTGAGGCAGGTGCAGGATCTTTTGCGGTGCCATGGCCGGTACCAATAGGGGAGCACTGCGCACCAAGGAGCTTGGTGCCACATCTTGGGAGGGACGCAATGCGGACTCCATGAGGAGTTGCTTGAGGCGGCTTTCCCTCTCTTTTCTTGTTCGGCACTTGAACGCTTTGCAGATCTTGCACTTGTCAGCCTGATGGCCCTCCCCCAGACACCTAAGGCAGGAGTCATGGGGATCGCCCGTGGGCATGGGCTTGTTACAAGAACTGCAGGGTTTGAAGCCCTGGGACGGCATGCCCCAGAGCCCCGCAGGGCAGTCACTGAAGGGCGGAACTGCCCCCTACTAAACTACACTTAACACTACAATAACCACTAAACTACACTTAACACTAAGATAACTATCAACAATTAACTATCACAGGTAACCACGAAGATAAGAGAAAGCTAGGGATTAGCGGAACACTTGATAAACAAGAGACCACTGTTCCAACAACCGTCACGGGCAGTAAGAAGGAACTGAAGGGGGGTCGGGCCGGCAGGGTCTTATATAGAGCACCATATCGGCGCCACTCCAGGGGACTCCCCAGCCGGCCCAACGGGTAGCTGCTAGGGAAAAAGTTTCCGACATCCGTGCATGAGGCACGCGCACGCACCTAACTGGAATTGATATGAGCAAGCACTCGAAGAAGAACAAAAGAAATCCAATCAATGGCACGGGCCCATTACTAAATGGAGATGACAAAATTGTTAATGATGCAGGCAAGGATAAATGTTCAATAAATATTCCTGTTCTGTATTTGGAAAGAAACAGGATGATGTAATGATGATGATGATGAAGTACTTTCCAATCCATTAGTAACTAAGGAGGATGTTAAATATCCTCTAAAAGGGATATACATTTTTTGATCAGCAGGCCTGGATAACTTGCATGTAAGAATCCTAAAAGGGTTGGCTGAGATCTCTGGCACATTAAGGTTATTTTTTAATAACTCTCAGAATACCAGGGAAATTCTAGAAGATTGGAATGCCAATGTCATGCCAATATTCAAGAAGGGGAAGTGGGATGTGTGACAGTTTGTACCATTATATTCACCCCTTTTACAAAACTATGATAAATTTTGTACAAAGTATGTCCTGTGAGGTATCATTTGAAGACTCATAATTTGCTGATCATTACTGTCCTGGCAAAATATGTGTGGCAACAATTTATAAGATTCTACTGTACAGGAAGTCCTCGACTTTATGACATTTGAGTTACGACGAATGGCACTTACGTTTATAAATTGTCATTGTGTTTCGACTTTAAGATGTTGGGTTCAACTTTACGACACTCGATCCAACATTGATCCTATGGGAAATTCACGTTACGACGTTTTCAACTTAAGATGAGATTTTCAGGAACTAGTTGTATCGTAAGTCTGAGGACTGCCTGTATAATGTTAAGACATTCCAAATCTGGGGAAGCAGGTACAAACTAGTTCCTCAGAGACAAAAGGCAAACTGATGCCTCAGTCAGGTGTCAATGAAATCAAATGGACTATCACCTGGTTGAGTGGCCATTCTTTGGCAGGAAAAAGGGTGTAAGTGAGAAACTGACATCTTGGCAAAGGAACAGCTGGAGGTTCCAGTCCCCACAGACTTCCTGTCTTCCTGCACCCCAGCTGGAGATGATTCTCAAAGAATAGGAAAAGATACCAGAATGGGGAACAGATGCTCCCTTTCTCTCTACCCATGGCAGCTGCAACACCTGAGAAACAAATAAACTGCTTTGTACTGAGGAAGTCAGCCAGTAAGACTGCTGAAGCATGTGGCGAGAGAGACTTTTGCTTTCAATTCACTTAGCTTGTTAAATTGGGTATTAGTTGCATTTTACCTTTTATTTCTTTGTCACCAGTTCTGACTTTTATGCCTTATTACTTGTAATCACTTAAAATCTTTCTGTAGTTAATAAACTTGTTTTATTGTCTTATCTAAACCAGTGTGCTTGGATTCATGTGTTTGGGAAGCTTCATTTGAGATAACAGGATTTGTGCATATCATTTCCTATTAATAAATGACAGACTTTATATGAGCTTGTATTGTCCAGGAGAGGGCTGGGCAGTACAAGACACACATTTCTGGGGGAAGTCTGGGACTGGGAATTTGCTGGTGTTGCCTCGCAGTGTATTAATGAATGGCTGGCCATAGCACTCATACAGTATAACTGGAAGTAATTTACATGCTGGAGGCTGTGTGTGAGCAGACCAGGAGTGGTTGCTCTCACAGCCGTGTAAAAGGCATCCCAGGGTGGAGAATTTAGGGGGGACAGCTGTTCAACAGTGCAGACTGTACCCTGGATAGTCACAGGATTGACCCAAATAACTATAGAATGGTTAGCCTGACAACAATCCCAAGAAAAATAATGGAAAAACTAAAAATAGGATTCTATTAATAAAGAATTAAAGGTTGGAGATATCATGAATGCCAGTCAAGATGATTTCATGGAAAACAGATCTGGTCATGCAAATCTGATTTCATTCTTCGTTGTCATTAAAAATTTGGTTCATAAAGGTAACTGCATATATGTATCAGACAGCCTTTTGTAAGGTGTTTGACTTAGTACAGCACAAGAACATTCTGATTAAAAAATAGCACTATATAATATCACTAGAGCACATGTTAAACTGGCTGACAGATCTCAAAAAGTAGTTGGCAGTGGAAAATTATCAGTGAAGAGAAGTATTTCTAGTGGGGTTCCACAGGGATTGCTACTAGGCCAGATTTTCAGCAATGATCTGGAAATATAAAAATCACTGTTTGCACAATTTGTTGATGACAAAGATTGTCAGAATGACAGAGCATTTCTACAAAGCAATCTGAATTGCTTGGTAAGCTGGGCCCATTCACACAATATGTGTTTTAATACACCCAAATGCAAAGTTATACATCTAGGAACAAGGAATGATTGCTCACACCTACAGACTGTATTCTGGAAAGCAGGGGCACTGAAAGGGATTTAGGTGTCATAATAGACAAGCAACTCCCAGTGCTGCAAAAAGGACCAATAAGATCCTCAGGGCAGGTCTTCACTACAGGGGCGGGGGTCGATTTAAGATACGCAAATTCAGCTACGCGAATAGTGTAGCTGAATTCGACATATTGGAGCCGACTTACCCCGCTGTGAGGACGGCGGCAAAATAGACCTCCACGGCTCCCCGTCGATGGCGCTTACTCCCACCTCCACTGGTGGAGTAAGAGTGTCGATTCGGGGATCGATTGTCGCATCCCGACGAGACACGATAATTCGATCCCCGAGAGATCGATTTCTACCCACCGATTCAGGCGGGTAGTGTAGACCTAGCTTTAGATATATAAACAGGGGAGTACTGAGCAGAAGGGGGTGATTTTACCCCTGTACATGGTATTAGTCAGAATGATACCAGAAAACTGCATCCAGTTTGAGTCCATATTTTAAGGATGTGGAGAAACTGGACAGAGCATAGAGAAGAGCCACAAAAATGATTTCTGGGCTGTGGAGAATGCTTTACAGTAACAGACCTAAAGAGCTCCATCTCTTTATCTTCTCAGACAGAGTGACTTGATTTCAGTATCAAAGTATCTTCATGGGGAGAAAATATTGGGTACTAAAGGGGTCTTTAATCTAGCAGAGAAAGGCATAACAAGAACTGCTGGCTAGAGCCTGAAGCTAGACTAATTTAAGTTAGAAATTAGGCACAATTTTTAACACTGAGGGTAACTAGTGGAACCAACTACCAAGGGAAGTGGTGGATTCTCTACCTCTTCAAATCAAGCATGGATGCCTCTCTGGAAGATAGGCTTTAGCCAAACACAAAAGTGATTGAGCTCCACAAAGGGGTAACTGGTTAAACGTAATGGTCTGCAATATACAGATCAGACTAGATGATCTAATGGTCCCTTCCAGACTAAATTTTGATGATACAATGCATGCATAGGAGCATAAGGACATAACGCTACCAACTCCAGCCCACTCATGCCCAGCACACAGAGGGAGGAGTATGTTCCTCTTTGTCAGAATTGTTCACACTCAAAGGCAGAGATGCACATTTATACAGCTGCTCACATAGATATGCTGGTGGACACAGGAAGGAACACACAATTCTTGCCCGCTTACCTTGTGCATGGGGCAGAAAGATGTTCATGCTCACACCAGCACCTCCATGCCCCAGTAAGCCTTTTACACCAATTTCTTTCTATACAATGTTGTAAAACACCCACCCTCCCGCAGTAGTTTATACAGAAGCTTGGGATCTTGGGGTTTTTGGGTTTAATCTCAATAAATATTTTTTCTCTTACTTCCTTGTTCTCTTTCTTCTGAGCCAGCCTTCATGATCCAATTAAAAGCCAGACAGATAATTACATGATAATCCAGAAACCATATGGACCAAAAAAGGGGGTGTTGAAAAAAACTCAAAGACAAAAAGAGGAAAGAGGAGGGGGGGTGGAGACACAAAGATTGAAAATAAAAATTTGCCTGGATAATGCATTTTATAAACACAGAGATAGAAACAGTTACAGCAAGAACAGAGCGGGCCAGGGATAGGAAATAGATTTTTTTTTAATAAATTCAAGGGGCTTTCAGTTTATTCTTGGCAGCTCCCCCTTCTCATTGGTTCTCTCCTTGTGGGGGTATCTGTTCCCTTCCCTCAATTGTCCACCTTCTGGGGAATCCATCTGGTCCTGTTTCTAAAAGAGGCCACCATTACCATGTGAGTCCAGCCCGTCTTGGCAAGGGGGAGCCTGGAAGAATGCCCACAGTGAGACGCGAGCAGGAGGAATTAGCCTTTTCCTGCCTCCTTGAAGAGGCTGGTCTGTTCCGCCTCCTGCTTTGGGAACCAGAAGCCAGACTGCTGAACTGAGCAGAGGAAGGGTGAGGGTCAGAACCCCTGCCCCTCGTTCCTGGGAAGGGGACATGGGAAGGGTGGGCAATGAGCATTGTGGCAGTCTCTTATCCGCCCACTGCTTTTTTGGTTTCCTGATGCTGCCTGCAGACTCTTTTGGGGGGAGATGGAGACTGAGCTACTATTGCATTATTCACAAAGGGAAGGCCCAGCAGTGACCTGGAACCCACTCCCCTGGATCTCTGTGGGGTGGTCTCTCTCCTACAGTTGGGTGGCAGACAGGGCAGCTGGACCAGACAGACCCTGCCCATGTTCTCCAGTGGGGGAGAAGAGAAATTGCAGCCCTCCCACATCCTCCGACAGTTTAGGCAATCTCAAACCCAGGGAATACGTATCACCTCCCGTCCCCAAGAGTTCTCCCTTTCACCCAGGGAGCAGGGAAATTATCCAAGCCCAGGGCTGGAGAACTGATCCCTCCTCACTTTCACAAGTAGGAGAGGGGAATGAATGTTTTCCTTTAGCCACATTAGAAAATCCTAAAAAAAATCCACACCGTGAACCCTGTCAGAACCTTCAATGGCCTGCTGTCAGCATGCATCCAAGCCCCTCTGCACAAAAACAGCCTCTTTCCATCCCATCCTGCCACATGTGGCCCAGAGGGTGCCCCCTCCACCAGCCTTCAAGACACATTTTAAAATTATACAGGAGGCAAAAATTAGGACTTTCTTGTGTGTGTGAACTCAAGGGCTCGTGTGTGAGGAGCTGGCTCCCAGCACAGGAAGGGGGCTCTTGCAGGTGAGAGTATCCCCCTCTTTGGAGCAGGCTGTTGCATAAGATGCCTGTGAAGACAAGCTATCACTCCAGGGGCTGCCATTAACAGGGTACACTGCCAGGAGAGGCTGTTGCACAAGGAGAGGCCAGAGGCTGTTGCACAAGGAGGGGCCATTGCACAAGCATTGCCCCCGGGCATAGGCTATGCACGAGAGGTTTTCTGCTCCCTGGGTCAAAGTCTCTCTTAGGAGCTGGAGAGATGTTCCACCTGGATGGTGCTGGTGCTGACAGTGAGGCAGATGTTCTTGTGGTGCTCTGAAGTCTTGTAAGGGGTCAGGTCAAAGGAGCAATGGGATGGAGGGTTGGGGGGGTTAGTGTCTCCAGAAGGGCCCCCCGCTGCCCCACCACCCTGCGGCTGGAAGTGCTGCTGTTGGGAGGCCTGAACTTGGGCCTGTGCCACTTGCTGCTGTGGGTCAGGGATGTTGTGTTTCCGCATGTGCTTCATCAGGTATGTCTCCTGTGAGGGGGAAGGAAGGAAGGAATCAAGGTGAGAGCGAGCTCCTGGAAAAGCAGGTATCAGTGATCCACTGGGGACAGATCTCAAGACCTCTCCCACCCAGCACCTCTTCAGGGATGAGGACTAAATCTCTGCCCACCAGGGGAGTACTTCCATGCCTGCTCTGCCTTCAGTGATACTCACTGAGGTGTAGGCCCGGCTACAGATGGAGCAGGTATAGACCTTGGCGTGCTTCACTGTGTGCGTAGCCAGGTGAACTTCCAGCGAGGCAGCATCTGTGTACGCGCGGTGGCAATTGTGGCACTTGAACGGTTTGTCTTTGTTGTGCTGCCGCCTGTGGGACTGCAGAGGGGTGGAGGAAGCAGGGAGAGAGAGTGGGGGGAGAGGAATTGGATATTAGAGCTGAAGATGCCCCCTCATGACCTACTCCGTCTCAGGCCACAGGTCTCCTTATTCCCAGTATCCTTAGTGATTGGGCTCATTCCTTGGGGAAGAGCTCTCAGTTCTTGTCCCCCACCTTCCCAGTCTCCCTCCTGCTGGTTCACTGGCTGTATTTGAAGAGGGGAATCTCCCAACCCTCAGCAGGCTCCACTCCTACCCCTCTCCTCTGTCCTTCCCTACTCCCATCCCCTTCCTCTCAACTCCTTTCTTACATCCCACATTGCTCTCCTAGGCTCTCACCACTGCCTGATTCACTTTAACCCTATATAGCGAACTCCTCCACAGCCCCTTTATTCCTTGCCCTCCTTGTTATTTAT